ATGTTACATTATCCATCTCGTCCCTAAGTTTTGCACACCAGTGTACTTTACCATTTATGTCCACTTTTGACTGGGATTTCGATTTTTAAGATGGTATATCAACGCCACGGTTTCTAGTCATTGCCTTACTCGTATTCTTATAAACTCGTTTGTTGCTCGTGCAAGTAACCTACAACTGCTCTCCTTCTTTTTCTTCGCTCTATTTTCAAACAGTTTAATTTAAGGATATTCCATGCCCCACTACTACCGCGCAACATTAGTTTCTCGTCCTGTAACGTTACTCTAGGCTCATGTTTGCATCACTACTAATCCCTCACTCACACCCTTCATACCATTCCTGAACTCTACCATCTACAACATCACCAAGGCTACTTAATTCAAGAGCTGAATTCCTCAGCTTCCCTCAAGTGCAGGACTCGGCTAGGTCACAGATCTATAGTATGACCCTTCATTTCATTATGATACTTGATGTTTCTTTTTTTTTTTTTATCAAAAGTGAGCACTTCACAAGAGAAACTCTGAAATTCAGCAATGATGTGGAGAATGTTTGATACGTTTGTTGGAACTATGAAATAATGCATCACCTTTAAAATGGAGTCACCTAGCAATATTACGAAAACCGAGGGTCGTATAATAACCGCCCATCACAACATATTGACATGAAACCGTGTTTACAATAAGACAAGTACAATTTCCAAAGCATTATGGATCCCGTCATATTGTTTCCAAGGAGCATACAGCCGCAGCCGAGCCGCAAACACATTATTTCGTGATTCCTCACTTCAGAACACACCACAAACGCTGCTTCTGCTTGATGACCTGATGTTTCTACTTTTGCATATGCTAGATTATCTTAATTTGAATAGATTTTCCTACAGCGGATCCAATCAAGTGGTCCAATCTTACAAGCAAAACTGTGAAGGCCATTCGAAAGAACTACTTAGTCGCGTGCACTGTAGGAAAGTACCGCATGACCTGGAAGGGCTCATTCAAAAAGAAAAATGTCAGTACTCGCGGATTCGAGTTGATCTAGTTTTCATTTCAACAGATACGAAGAAGTCCAGAATCTGAGAACCCACTGGGCTGCGAACTGTGGGACCATTATGAATTTAAAATTTGGTACCCAAAAGACGAAAACGGTAAGGACTTGTTTTCTGAAGTTAACCATATTACGATCTAAAGCGACGACATATCATTTAGCAGCTTGGTTCCCGCCGTTTTTCTTTACCCTGATATTTAGCAAGTCTTCCAAAGTTGTGCCATCATGTTTCATGCTAAAAAGATATATTTTCGACCGAAATTTGTTCTGTATTTTGACCACTTTGGTTTATATAAATTTTCCAATCATTAAAATGAAACATCAACTTGAGAGAAGTGGCCGCTTTTGGGACCACCTTCTTCTTGCTACCAGCCAAGGTTGTGATGCTAGGAGCTGTTCGAGACGCTTTTATGGAGACAGTGCCATAAGCGAGAAAACCGCTCAGATTTGGTATGACAAGTCCGAAAATGGAGAGTGTTTGGCTTGAAGTTTTGTTAGCTGCTGTTATTTCGCCATTGTGCGCGATTCGAAAGTCTCATAAGGTTGGGGAGTTATGGACAGAACTTGGGCCTTGGACGGACTCAAACCCATACTTGTGTGTTATCCGGTAACCGTGTTCTTGTTCCCCACTCTACGAGGCGAGGGCACGCGGGGTCTCGGTAGTTTGAAGGATAAGTGCCCGAATAGCACAAGTATGGGTTCGAGTCTCGTCCGAGGCCGAAATCCATATTTCCCCTACTTTATGGGAGTATTCGACCTCAAAGACGTCCCTCTTCCTGGTTGGCGAAGATGTTCTTCTATAGCGGCATGCGAGCATACCTATTTTCATTTTTCTTGTCGTTTGACTAAATTATTGGTGTAGGAGCTGGCTCAGTCGTTCTTAGTTTAACTCAACAGGACGGCCAGAACAAGATCCGCCTCTGGAGTCACGATTTCCAAATTAGCGCATAAATAACGAGTGATTGCCTTGGCACCTGTATGGCATCGTTCCCACACACAGCACAAGTGTCGTGAGCAGCCTTCTTGGAGTTAGAATCTCAATTGAGAGCAAAAATATTGATAAAGTATCAAATTTTCACGGAATTGTCAAACTTTAGAGTCTGTCAGATGGACAACGACAAACCTCTTGTTCATACATGTCATTTATTTTAATGTTATCAATTCTAAAATTGATAGCCATGAGTTACTGAATTGGTAGACCAAACCGTTTCATTGAAATGGAGTCACTGTGCATTCAAGAATTTTCAAGAAAGTCTCGCAGCAAAGCGGAAGCCATATGCTTTTGCAATCAAACAGCAATCTGTGCAACGCAGCCGGAGACTTTCGAAGTAATGTTTACTTTCACTAGATTTTTTACAACTGTAACTAAACAACATAGTAAACAACTACTTCTATTCGAAATGGTTACCTAACCGAATCCACTGCAGGATTTATCACGGTTCATTGGTAGTTCATTACAGTAGAATTCCTACTTCAAGGATACTACATTTCAAATGGGTCCCGATTCAAATGTCAATGTTGTCTTTCAAGTAAATGAAAGCTTAGCAAGCTATTTCTTTATGTATGTATTCATGCTACATGCCTCAACTCCATCGCTTGTGCCTTCTATTCTTTTGGAAAAGACATGCAGTTTCCCCTTCTAGAAAACTTGTTTTTTTATCGTTGCAGTATTTTTTTCGCTCCTTCTCAATACCAGAAAGGCATTCATTCAGAGGACTTGTAGTCGTGAATAATTCCCACTGGCTCTGTACAGTCATCAGAGCTTTCTCTAATTAACAATCAGCTCAAAAAGTAGCACATTTTCCAGTCCAATTGCCTTATTCACACAAATTTAAAAAACACTAAACCTAAAGCAGAATAAAGTGATAAAGCTTCGAACAGAGTGACAAAGCTTCATTTGACATTTGTGCAGGGAAGGGGGCAGTCATTCCTGCCCCTAAAGCAGAACAGAGGTAACTTTCCCAGTCGACGGAGCTCAGAACTCCAGATACGTCTCCACATCTGCGTGCATCGAGCCTTCGGGCGTCCTTTCCTAGCACGCTGAACTACGCTGATGCATGCTCATCCTGTTTTCATAGAGTTTCCAAGGGATAGACGGTCAAAGGATAAGAGAGCAAAACCGGCCGTTTCTTGTTTCTTCACTACTCCCTCAACGTTCCAAGAGGTCTTCAGACCACGCGTTTCATTTTGGTCAGCTCTGGAGTAAGATAGCTCATAGAATTGATTTCTCGACCTAGGTACAGCCTGGGCATTCAAATTGTTTTTTCCGTCCAGTATGAATAGCGCGTAAGTACCTATTCTTCCGGATAAACATTGCTTTCGTAGGTTCAATCGTAAGCCATTACTCCCACAAACACTGTCAAGAGCGGCCAGCACTCGTTCCGCCCGCTCGATGTTCGTTGTTATAAGCACGATGTCGTCTGCGAAGCGAGATGATGTAAGTAGCGGCCATCACCCTTCAATCGGTCCTACACACCCAGCAGACGCAATAATCGTATTATAGCCTGTAGGAAGAGATGAAAATTACGCCCGTCATAAAGCAGTACATTAGTAACTGTCTCCATACAACAAGGTGTAAACAGTTGCCCATTACAGCCCTATGGGAAATTCTCAGAAGGTAAACGCACAATTCTCTCCGACATCTTGCCCTCTTTCACAAATGCAACTACTTTTGGAAGTGCAATTTGTCGTTGAACTGCTCATGCGATCGTTACTTTGAGGGCTGTTTCCTACTAGGCCTTATGTCGGTGTGTCATCAGATACCTGCTTGAACTCAAACATGCTTGTCCCATATAGCGAAAACGATATTATTCTATCAATTCTCAATAAGTAAGGGTTAGCCCATAAACCGTCTTACAATTGCATAAGTCCACGCAATCTCCATCAAAAGGTACTATTGCCATGAACGATCCGGTTTTATGCTCACCACCACGCAATTGTTTCTCTTGCAGGCAACCTTTGAGAATAACGCTAATTTGTGGCAGTGACTTTTATAAGCACTGCGTTCTCATCTAGGAAGAAGGGTGGTCTGACCCGATGACATCATGCATGACTTATCCTGAATTATCCTGGATTTACAAAAAGTCGACATAGGTTGTATATATTATAAAAGGCTCTGTTCTATGGATTTTAAATCATTTCCTAAACTGAACGGTCCAACTCATGTTTGACTGAGGTTGTATCTTGAAAATAGCACTGTTTTGAAAAATCAATCAAATGTGTTTTTTTTCCAATGAAAAAGATGAAATGAAAGA